AAAAGGCATATCGTCCAGAGGGACTTCAACAGCTATCACCCAAAACCTCCTATCGTCCTCCTGCCTTCTCAAATCCCTGAACTCTGCCTTCGTCATCCAGGGTTTGAACTGTATCTTATAACTGACATTTGCTTGCCTCGTGGGGATCTCCACCCCACTTTCACTTAACATGAAGTTCACCACCTCCCTGGATTTCGCCACGTAAGAAAGGGCATTTGGGCCTTTTGTCTTTACTCGTCCTTTCCTCACCTCTTCGTGGAAACGCTCGCTACCTAAAATCCACCCATCCTCGAACGCACGTATGATCACCGAAACTGTCCGTTCTTTCAGCCACTTGACCTAGATTTCGTCCAACGATGTATTTAGCGTGAACTTCACTTCTCTTCCTTGTACCTCCATCTCTCCTGGGTCTAAGTCCGTGGGGTGGATCCCATCGTCAAAACATAGTGTTAGCAACGATCTGATTCGCTCTTCTTCTTCCTGGTAGTTTGTTGGCTCTGCTGGTCCTGGTGGTGGTGATCTCGCGTTCATTTTCTGTCCTCCTGTTCCCTCCTCCATCTTGTCCTTGCCTTCCTCCTCTCTAAACCTACTGCCCCTCCTGCCGGTCTATTACGACGTGTGTAGCTCCTTCACTTCAACCTCACCACCTTAGTCTTAATTCTTACTTTAACGTCTTATGACCCTTGTCTGCGCTGCACCGGAAGACGGTCATCCGAACTCGGCTGCGGGAGCCTGCCCACCATAGCCGCTTCGCCCCAACCCGGGGGAAGAGTCGGTAATCCTGAGGCACTATCTCGTCAGTAGTGCTTCGGTTGACCGTGGTCGAAAATTCACGTCGCGAGTTCGCGACCAAAACCGCTGGGCAGAGCGCTCTGCGCCAACCGCAGCATTCCGTCGATCCAGCACTTCCTTGTTTCCATTTTCTTTTTTGTTTTCTCTCTTTTTTGTTTTTTCTTGCTTTTCTTCTGTTTTTATTAAACCACCAGTACTTCCTACAGTCATGCCCGTTAACGCGCCACAATTTTACAAACATACGGGCCACTACAGGAGCGCCCGAATTCGTCCAACTAGAAACGTTTCTACTATCTCGTCAGTAGTGCTTCGATTGACCGTGGTCGAAAATTCGCTTCGCGAGTTCGCGACCAAAACCGCTGGGCAGAGCGCTCTGCGCCGACCGCAGCATTCCGCCGGTCCAGGACTTCCTTGTTTTCGTTTTCTTTTTTGTTTTCTTCCTCTTTTTTGTTTTTCTTTCTTTTCTTCTGTTTTTATTAAACCACCAGTACTTCCTACAGTCATGCCCGTTAACGCGATACAATTTTAGAAACGTACGGGCCACTACAGGAGCGCCCGAATTCATCCAACTACAAACGTTTCTACTCTACTTTTTTCTGCAGCCGATAGCTGTGCCAAGTACTAGTGGTTTGAAGGAGTGATGCAAAGGGTGCCCAGGCCCCTTCCCAACCACCATCGACTCCCTCCCCCCCCCCTTCCTCCTTGTGAAAACCTTCCCCCCCTGATGCATTTCGACCATAGTTGCGGCGCACAAGTGCACAGTGCGGTGCAGGGCGGTGCGCACTGTGCTGTGCGCTCGAATGACAGCACGCCCACTGTGCGCAGTGCGCAGTGCGGTCCGCTGTGCGCGGTGAGTGCGCTGAGGGAGGTGCGCTATGTGCGCAATAAAAAAAAAAAAACAAGAGAGAGAGAGAGAGAGAGAGAGAGAGAGAGAGAGAGAGAGAGAGAGAGAGAGAGAGAGAGAGAGAGAAAAGGATCCCCTTTGTGTCAATTCGAATGCCCCTGCAGGTACCACGAATGGCTCCTACAACGCAGGGGGAGCTATTGAGGGCCGCTGCTTCACTGAGAAGGATGGCCTCGTCATGCACGAAACACATTGGGGCAGACCACCAGTATATACTGTGGATTCGAGTTCATGGCTGTAGCTCGACAGTTATGGGTCACCAGCTTAGCTAGACCCTGTTCGTTTCTCCACGTGATTCTCAGGGCCTCCCTCCACCACTCACCAAATGTATATAATATCAGTAGAATAAACTTCTGCTAAAACATGGAACCATACACCGCCATATGCTGTCTTTTGTGCATTTGGTGGTTAGTGGAGCAGGCCCCACTGGACCGTAAGAAAAAAAAACAAGAAAATGAGAGAGGCACGGGCGTCTTCATCCCAACCCATAACTGCCGACATGCAGACCTGAACGCCAATCTTCAGCATATATTGGTGGTCGGCTGGCCATAGAAAACATAAAGTTGTGATCTCTGCGAAGATTCGCGGGGCAGGTCGTTATCAGGCGACTGCCCCTTTTTGCGAACTTACCCCACCACTGTGTGGGATTTGCAGAAGGGAGCGGGAAGAACATCTTTCATACCCCGCCTAAAAAAAAAGATGGAATGAGCCCTATTTTTTAAAAGTATTTTATGCTTCCCCATTCTGAAACTTTTGGGGGAAGGGCCTTCAGAAATCGAAATTTGGCAGCCCTTACCCAAAAGAAAATTTTGAGCTTGGGGCGCGGCCGGTTTCTGAGCTCACGCGGTGAGTTTAACATTTTTGCCGAGTTGGGGGCCCTAAGAAATTACACAACACCTACTCTCTTTTTTTTTTTTTGTGGAGCTAGTTTTTCCAGTGCGCTGCGCTTCGGTGCGCTGCGCGCGGTGCGCAATTCATGCGCAAATCCGCACACCGAGGTGCACCGCAACTATGATTTCCACCCAGTCACAAATCCGTCAACTGCGTTCACCCGCATTCAGTGCACATGCGCTCAACGCGTTCAAAAACTGAACGTGGAACGTGCGTTCAATGAATGCGCAGCAGCATAGGTGGTGTGTTCAGGAGAGTGCTGGCCATCGACGCTGCTGGCAAACAGTCCCACCCACCACCCACCGGCGGCCCCACCCTACTCCCCGACCACCGCCGATTCGGGTGGGGGCCCACATGCATCCCCTTAACTGTGAGAGGTAGCTATGCTTCCAGGGGTCCGCTGTGTAGGCTTAGGAGTGATACGTGAGTAGTGCAAGGTGAAATTGAGAGAAGAGTATAGCTTCGGTTTTTATAAAATTAAAAAGAAAATTGCAGAACCTTTTTCTTTTACGAACTGGCCTGAGGTCTCAGAGGGGACTCGTACCAGTTTCTTTTCCCAGCTATTCATTCCGATATGTCAGTTAACCCGCTACAAAATCACGGCTCAGGCCTACTGGCAGAAAAGGCTGGTGCTGCCAAGGAATTGCACGGCGGGAATTTGCATGCAGCAAAAATCTGCATTGGGAACGAGACTCGGAGAGACTGGTGGTTTCAGATCATTGAAAAGGGTATGGAGAGCCGAAGGAGACGAGAACAATGGAAAGGCGCATACAGACAGGAGAGGAAGACAATCCCAAGAGCAAAAAGACAGAAAATAAACGAGGACATCTACAGAAAAACAACGAAAAAATCAACAAGCGACAGAAACAAAAGAGGCGAAAACCGTGAACTAACTGGAAAAAAAGACCTACCCTCATCCCCGGTTTTCATCCGAACAGAGCGCCTGGTCATTATCGCTGTGTCTAGACT